CCTCAAAGACAACAGCTCTATCCTCTTTTTATAAATGTAAGGCCATGAGACAGTAAAGTGCTATTTCTATTGGCATTAGTTCCACCTTATATATTAAAAAGGTATTTGTTGTGCCCCAATCACTCCAGGTCCAGGATCATAAGGGACCTTGTTTCTTGGTGGGAGGCTGGAGTGTGAAAAGGTTACTTAGTCATCACTAGCCTCTAGCGATGCTGGAACACCACACATGGGGCTCCTCAAACAGGAAGTCAAAGCCAGGCCTGACCCCTGGATGAACTCGGTGCATTTTCGGGCAAGGGGCCTGATGAATCTCCAGGGACAGTGCTCTTCTGTGCCTGTGTCCGTATGTATGTGTTTACTCCTCCGGGTGCATGTGTGGAGGTGGGTAATACTGAAAGGGAAGGAGAGTGTGAAGGTTCTGGATAATTATGAAAATTAGATCTTTTACAGCAGGCTTCAAGCTCAATTTGGGCTGACAGCTCATGAACAGATCATCTGAAGTCTTAATAGGCCAACGCTGGTTCAATAGTTGTATGGTTAAATCATGCACATTTGTGCCACAGCTGACACAGGCAGCAGACCCAGATGCCTCAGATGGATCAGGCAGATGAGTCTATATTTAACACTCTTCCTCTCTGGGGAAGCCCCACAAAGCACCAGAATCTAAAACCATGCTTAAAACTTTTGCCARCCAAAGAAACATTCCAGCATTCTTTTCATGATAAAACATCCAGTGGCAGAAATAATACATGGTTAATAAGGCAGTTTTAAATATATTCAATACTGATGTCTTTCCAAAATATTTTTGAATCCAGCAGTAAAAGATATTATCTTTCAAACTGTTCCTATTCAAAACCAACTGGCTGGCTGGAAAAAAAAAACTGGGWTTTTTTTTTTCTTTCTATTTTAAGTTACCTGTCTCCAAAGCACGAGTCTCCTGACTTCCACATTTTGGTGATACTTTTGTAAAATGATGTCAAGATATCAAGGCCCCAGTCACATCCTGAATTCAGAAAGAAGGTCCTTCCTGGATATTCCTGATAATGAGCTTAGTACCAAAGGGGTTAGAGGGTTTGAAGAGAGCAGCATTCCCTATTTGAAGGAGAACTGAGTCCAACAACCTAAGAAGCATTTTCTTATTATTTTTCTCTGGCTTTGCAGTAACTGCTTCTCCTTGAAGCTTCATATGGGGAAAGGAATGAAGCAGTAGAGTTAACCTGCCTAGCATGTGGCTTCCAGCAGAGAGAGACTCATCCACCTCACCCCTCGGGCTTCTTTAACTGAATTAGCCGTATTAAGTGCCTTGGTAGCCCAGGGAATGAACGTCGTCGATCAGTGCCTGGGAAGGCATGTTTGCAGGGTATAATTCTGCCGGAGGAGAATGGACTCCCCAGCACATGGGCCTAAACTGCAGAGTAACAGAGCCCTAAATCTCCAGTTGCAGATTTACAGCCTCCATTCTCCTTCTTTACTGCAAATACAATCCGGCAGTAATGGTCTAACACAGCAACACCATCACCAACTGGCTGATGGCTCGCATAAAAGCAATGTCAACCAAAAACTATGAGTTTATAAAAGGGAACAAACCCTCAACAGTGACAAGAACATGAAACCCATTAACAATTTAAACACTCTCCATTTTTTATTTCCCACCTTGAAGCTATTATTGCTGATAGAAAGCTTCTCACTGGAGTTAACCACTGCCAGACAGGGTTAGGAAGCTAGCTTAACTCTTAAGACAAGAGGTTAGGTGGAGTGAACCATTGGATGGTGTGGTTTGGACCTTTGTTAGTAGGAATGTCACCTGATAACCTGTAGCTCAAAAGAAGGTCTCAGAAAATTGCAGGTATGATAGACAGTTCCCTAGTAGGCCTACAAATTATTCTCAGGAAGCACACAGAATAAATGTGACTGGGAAGGGTCTTGCTGACTTATTGAACATGTCACGATTTGGGCCTGTGTGGTGGAAGGAAAGGAAGAATATGTTTTAGAGGAATTTCTGAAAAAAAAATTCATGATCAGTTCTGGGCATTTTGATAATCATTTTGATGTTTGTTTATATGAGTTTTTTTTTTCTCCCTGTAATAGCACTAATCCCTCGATGGGACATTGCCAGCAGCATATTTCTACTTTGTGAACTCATTCTACCTGAGCTATCATGAAAAATGGAACTCATCACCCATAACCTTCCAGGCCTTATGTAATYAGATACAAAGATTGTAACTACTTTGCCCAACTTAACCATAGGACTCTCCCATTTAAAAAAGATTACTCTTGTGGAATTCTCTGGAGAAAAATACTGGAGCGGGTCATCTTTTCCCTCACTCTCTTCTTTGCCCACTTTTCCCCAGTAAAAATGAAAATAGGACCTTAATGAGATGTATAAGCCCATTATTGGGTGATTTAACCCTTCTGTTCTGTGTATCAGACAAACTCATGGCAATAGAGAAGTTGTTCTCTTTGTAATTTTGAGCTTTCTTATAAATGTAATTTGGTAAGCAGTTCATGTTTTAGAGATAGGTTCTCACTAAAAAGGAAAGAAATTCTGTTTTTGCAAAGGGGGAGAAAAAGACCATATTGAACATGGTCACGTATATCTGCACCAATTCTGCTACTGAAGTTAAAGTCCCTGATTTACATATATTGTGCTGATTATTTGAGCAATTTGATATAAAATTTAATTTGTACTAATGGGCCTGGGGGAAGCACAAATAAAACCGAGAAATAAATACTTGCTTTGCAGTAAAATGAATACCATTAGTATATATAAAACACAGGTTTAAGTGATGCATGAGCTATTGTATTGTAAGAATATGCCTATATTTTTGGCACTTTAAAAAAATGCATTACTCCAACAGAGGACTCTCAACCTATCTGGAGATGCTCTTAACCTGGGCTGATATTAAGAAAGGGATTATCTCACCCTACTTTTGTTACAGGCACAAAGCTTTTGAACAGAGCAGACATTGCACCTGTTGGTTKTGAGTGTCTCTTCCTCTAAAAAAGAAAAAAAAAAGTTGAGGAGAAGGAAAATAAAAGAAGTGAAATAAAAGACAAGAAACAAGGAACTAACAAAATAAAGGCCGTTTTTCTCTGCTGTGGGCAAGGAAATCAAGCTACCATCACTCCAGTTATAATAATGTTAGACAATGGTTAGCCTAGTGTCTGATAATGACCAGAGCACACACAGTTCTGCTTTCAGTGCGGATGACATTTAAAGAAGGAGCAGGAAGCACAGCCGCTTTCCTGGACCTATACAATCAACTCCAATGAAGCCTTTGCTCCGGCTTGAGTCATAACCATAAATACTGCCCCATCCCCACATTCCAGTAACAAAGTCCTTCCTTCCTCCCTCGCCCCTAAACAAAGGGGACAACAGTGTGTTCGGTGGGAACATCTTGAAATAAGATATCGCTCCCCAAATGGAAGGAAGTCACAGGGGAGATTGACGCCGTAAAGGCAGTTCTATCCTATTGAAACGCCAGCAGATGGGGTCATAAACATTTCCTTCTCCCCTTGCTAACAGCCACCGAGTCAGCTTCATCTTTATCTTTATCTTTATCTTCCTGTCAGGTCATAAATACCTCTCACTCAAGCCTCACTCACAGCTGGGCCATGCCAGGCAAGTTTATTTCCTGTTAAGGGTTCATTTCAGCAAACAGGAGTAAGTGGAGGCGGAAGAAAATGGAAAACTCTGCTGAGGACACACACACACACTTGGATGCCATCAAGGAAGCTTGGGGACCTCGGAGAAGGGGGTTGGCCAGACCGAGAAGTGACCAATCTGCTTATCAAAAAGTAAGAAAATCCACTTAGAAGACACTTTCACAGGGAAAATGGGTCAAGGAATTACATAAAAAGTCTAATTACGAACAAACTGAGCAACAGAGCTGAATAGTGACACGGGCTTTGGCCTTTTCTTCTAGAACCTCCAACATGAGGCAAGAGTTCTTCCCAGGGCCTGGATCCTGGACCATAATCATACATTATGGAAACAGAAGAATTTGGGGGGTGGTAACTTGATACTGAGTCCTTGCTTGGGCCAGAGAATGGAGAAAGAATGCACCCCTTCACTTTCAGAATTTGGGCACAGGAGGAAGGCGTGACCTTCTGACTCAGCTTCCTTCCTGGAGAGCAGTTTTCCACTTGCAAAACCATCTGCCTGAGGGATTGTTGGCAATTCCAAAATTGTGGGTTCTAAAGGTCGGAATCAAGAAATTAGTGGGTGTCTTCCTCCTGAACTTGGCTAGAGAAACTGCCTGTCGCAAGTTTCTGGGATATTTGCGTTTTTCAAAAAATGGCTGTAGTTTTTATGAAACATAACCTGCAGTCTGATTTTTAAAAAGCTGCATTTTAATGAACACATCCTGAAAAACACAGTTAAGACTTCTTAAGTAATGAGAGAGACAGGTTGCTGTTGATTGGAAGTCAAAGGTTATTGTTGGTCAAATAAGGGTTGAGTAAAAAGTGCCTTATTGTGCTTTGAGAATGGCTGATCTGTACTGGTTTATTTTAGTCTTTTTATATCTTTACATGTGCTTTTAGACACTGTGTGACTTTAAAGAGGAAAACGAAGAGATCACTAATRTGTTTACTATGGTAATTATAACAAATGGGTTTGAGTCCCAGACCTGATACTTTATAGCAGTGTAATTTTGGGAAAGTTACTTAACCTCTCTGAGCCTCAATTGTCTTAACCATAAAATGGCTACAATAATATAGTCCCTTTCTCATTGGGTTGTTATCAATTAACATGTAAATCACTTAGAACAGAGATTGGCACATTGTAAGGGCTGTGCACATTTTAACTTAAGTACAGAATGGAAGGCTTGGGTAATTTAGTCATCTGGATGGTATCTAAAGCGAAGGATATTGATTATATTCTTAAGCTTCAATTAAGCTGAATATTAGACTTCAGACTGGCATTCAAAGGCTTCCATAAATTAGGTTGATTGACCTTTACAGTTCCCTCTCTCATCACCCTCCTGCAAGTCAGTCACCACTGTTGCGCTGAACTGCTCGGTGTTTCTTGAGCACACCCGCATTTCCCCACACCCACACCTCTGTAGCTGTAGCCCCTTTGCTCTGGATCTTGCCGTTCCCATTTACACCCCCCCCCATTGCCCCCCCACCCCCTGTTGAAATCCTAGCCCATCAGAGATTCTCTCATTCAAGCAACAAAGCTTTATTTTATGTTATCCTTCAAGGAAGTCCTGATTCAAAGAGTTTCTCTATGCACCATGGAGTTCTGGAGATGGAAGTACTTGAAAGACCAAATGGTCTAATTTCTCCTTCTCCCAAGGCCTATAGAGGTGAAGTGACTTGTCCAAAGCCACCAAGCTACTKCCACACCAAGCTACTGCCACACCAAGCTACCAGACTACAATTCAGGTCTCTTACTAGTGCAAATCTCTCAGTCCTCCTCGTCCTCCTCATCACTTGACCTTGGGCCTCCCTGGAGCCACTACAGTCCCTACAGCACTTACCACAGAGCCTCCTGAAGTGCAGTTATCCAAGTACCTTCCTAGCTCCTCTGCCATGTCTCTTCTATGTCTCTTGCTCCTTTGCCACCTAACCCCAGAGTGCATAGAACACAGCCTTTTACAGCCAGGCAGCACTTAGTAAATATTTTTTGAATAAATGTGTGAATGTTAAAAAGAGGAAATTAAACCACTTTTCCCATGCCATTGACTTACATTTCAGCCTCAGAATTCTTCTAACTCAACTATCTGAATTGAACTATCAAGGCCAATGTATAGTAAGCAAACATCCATGTCTGCCGAAAAATTAGAGCAAATGATACATTTTGCATATGCACTAAATCTCTTTCTTTCTTTCTTGGTAACAAGGATTGAACTCAGGGGCACTCAACCACTGAGCCACATCCCCAGCCCTATTTTATATTTTATTTAGAGACAGAGTCTCACTGAGTTGCTTAGCTCCTCACCATTGCTGAGGCTGGCTTTGAACTTGCAATTCCCCTGTCTCAGCCTAATTTTCTTTCTTTGCAAAAAGCTTCTGAGTGCTCACAGTGCGCATTTTACTATTAGGTATGCACAGGAGATCCTGGACCCATATTTTGCCRAAGAAGTGGGAGAGTAAACCTTGTCTTAAGATTTGTCACATTATTTTGGGAAGAACTATACACAACACCACTAGAGATCTATTAACTATGTACCACGGAAGTACATAGATGACAATGATGGCAAATGGTATACCAAAGAGATTCAGGGAGATGGAGGGAGTAGCAAAAATCAGGGAAAGTTGCCAATACTACATAGAATGTCTTATGATGTCTCTTTTATGGGCCTCTACCTTGCAAACTGAAGCCCAATACTTCTGATGTGTTTATCATTCATTTTCTGTGCTCAATGATTTAAGGGTAACCTTTTCCTACCTCATGAAAGTTTTAGTTGCTGATCAAGTTTTGACCAAATACTATTATATGTGTTCTTTTCCAGTTGGAGGCAGCAATCGTAACAATATATGAAACATTTTAAATTTTTCATAAAGTGCTTTTATATATTTTTTCCATCTTTTCCTGGTAAGAAACCCAGGAGGAAAGTGTCAAGTGCAAACTGTATACTATAGTTGCACACATGATACATAATAACAGTTATACTTCAAGTTTGCAACATTGTTGTACTTTATTCCTGGAATCTCTCTTCATGAATTTTCCTGATGGAGGGAATCAAAAGAAAGCTACAACTCTGTTACAATACCCTGCTTGTTTCTTTATCAAACCAATCACAATCTGTAATTGCTTTATTTATTGGTTTAATTCTTTATACCAGTCTCCACAAAAGAATAAAGCCCCATGAGGACAAGAACCTCTCATCTACCTTGTTCTTTCACGGTAGGTATTCAATGAGAAATTGTTGAGGGAATGAATGAATGAGCCACAATACTATTTATATTAAGGTAAAAGGTTATAACAATAAAAAAGGCCACTGAATAGACCTCACGATGTGGGACTGATTGGTTGTATTTTTACCCATTTATTCTTCCAAGGATGGCCTACATAGGAACAAGTAGTCCTCTTAATTTTTACGTTTTTAAATTTTTACTGAATGTTTTCTCTGTATAGGTAACTGCATTAAGTTGGGGATGAGCAGTTTGAACCATAATCCTTATTCCCAAGAAACCTACACGATACAGCAATTCAATAGTAATATCAGACAGCAAATTAGAAGTCCCCCCAAAAGTGAAGCAGACAACTTGTGCTTTCCATCAGAGAACAGAGACCCTGCCTTAGATTGGAGTAATCAAGAAAGGCTGCCTGGGGATGGTGGCGTCTTGAGGTGAAGATAAACTGAATTTCTACCAATGAAAAGGGTTCAATAGGGGGCCTTTTGCAAAATCATGTAACTGAAATATGCCTCAATATTCCACAAGTTTAGATAAGAAAATCTAATTAAAGAATATAAATGCTTTGAGATCTTCCAATAGATAGTAGCTTGCCCATGCAAAATAGTCTAATTAGACTACCGGGCTGAACCCCAGAGCAGGTTTTTAATGGCTTTATGTATGTTTAATCACACTTAGTTGGTCTAGCTCTCTCAGCTTCAGTCCCATTAGAATCTAAAAGGTCAAGTTTCAAAAGCCTAAAAAAGTGATTTAGAATAGAAATGCCAACTTAACCTTAACCACAGCTAAACTCATGCTATCATAGTATTGAAAATCGTACCTCACATAAAATATATGGATGAAACAAGAACATTAAAACTTGATCCGTCTTTCCTGAGGTTATGTAAAAGAATAGAAATTTTCATAAAATTCAAAATCACAATTTGAATTTGACTAAAAATTATGGCTTGCTGATAGCTGTTGACACATATGGCTTATCTGGGAGGGCACAGAGGCCTCATAAGTGAGGGAGGAAGGAGTCTAGGAAGACCTAACGACACCGAAAGGGAGCGATCTATTGACAATGACACAGATTTGTTACAGCTCTGAAGGACAGGAGAGCACTTTAGGGGCGTTCTCTAAAACCCCCTGGTTGGAGCTCTTGCCTTTTACCTGAAGCATCCTGTCCAGGGTCTCTCACTTCCACTAAAGCTGCCACGTAAATATCTCTTGCCTTTCCTTGATTTCTTTCCCTGATATTTATATCTGGCTTCATTTACTATGGTTTTATATTTTATATTAAAATGATTCCAAACTGTTATCATCTATCATGCTTTGAGGGATGATTTTTTTTTTCCAGTGCTGGGTACCGAACCCTTTGCACATGCCAGGCAAATGGTCTACCACAGAGTCAACCAGCCCCCCTTGCTAATAGAAAGGTCAGACATGAGCTTAAATAGGCAATTCTCTTCTTTTTTTAGAAAAAGTGGAGGGTTTTTTTTGTATTGTTTATTTAAAATCATCATTCTTTATTTTTGTAATTATCTCTGTTATATAAGCCCATCTATCAGGAATTATAGTTCCACACCTGCACACATACAGGGGATTAAAATGTGGATTAAGAAGTGTCATCGTAAAGCCAGCAAGGTCCTGGGGGAGAGGGCCTGGGAGACAAGTAACAGTATAAACGGAAGGTGCCAAATGGTAATAAAATCAAAATGGGAAATCATGAAAATAAAATAACTGTGCATTAAAAATATATTTGGGCTAGTTCCTCTGTGCTCATGTTTTGTAATATTAACTGTTTCAGCCTGCTTAAAATGAGAGCTTTGAGTTCTCAAAATCCTTTAATTCGGTTAAACATCCGCTACCCTGAAAGGACTCCACAGCACCCCATAAAACATTATTTATCTGTGTGCGTTAACTGCACGATACTGTAATTTCCAGAATAAATGCTGGGTGTAAATTGTTGTTTATGTTGGATCCTGACTGTCTTTACGAGAAACAAAGTGAAAACGGAATCTTCACAGCTTTATTTCTTCCGTTAAAGTCTATTCTGCAGCAGGAAACATGCCTGGTGGAGTTTCTTAATGAACACTTATAAAGACTGTTGGTTAAAACCAAGGATAGAGAATCACCTCCAAATGCATACCCTCTTTGAGTCGACATTCTTTTCATTTAAATCAAGCCAAATTAAAGTGAAAGTAGCACCATTCACATTGCTATAGTTAAGGGTCTGTCAGCATTTTTATATATAGCCAAGTGGTAAGTTTACAACTTGAAGGGGACAAGGAAAAATGTAAACAAACAACCAACCCCCTTTAATACAGAAGAGCTTGACTGGAAATGAATTGTTGTTTTTATTTATCTTTAATGACTTTAAAAGTCTATCTTGGGGCAAAAGATATAGACATCCTAGTGATTTAACACCCTTGGTTGGTTGGATTGTGTTGATTTTTCCAAAATGAGAGCTTTCAAAAATGTTTCAGCTATAAAATTGATTACAACATGAAAGTTGGATTTTCTGAAGAGCATTAAATATTAGCAATTTCATCATTTCACCTCTTCGTCTCCTGCCACACACCCAAAACACACAACAAAAATAATTTCCTCTTCTCACAAATGGAAATTCAAGGTGTGGAGAAGTTACAAGGGTTTCAAAGTCAGATGTGGGCAGGACTATGTCCCATTTTAAAATTCTCTTCTTGATCCTTTCTCTGAACACTCAGTAATTTCTAACTATGAAACACCATTGCTAAATTCTAAAGAGTGGACAATGTTTTGATGTGTGCATAAAGCATTCATTGAACATTTCTTCTGGAAAAAAAATAACTGCATAGGTTTCAAGTCTTAAGAATTTACTGTGCCTCTGCTGTGGCTGTTCTTACCTGATAAAACTATGATGACTCTTCCTGAGCGATTATGACTTATCAGGTCAGTGACCAACAAACGATAAAATAGATTCTAACAGCCCCCAAAGGGTTGGTACAGACTCTTGAGTAAATAATATATGTAAGAGAGAAGGAGAGAGAGAGAGAGAGAGAGAGAGAGAGAGAGAGAGAGAGAGAGAGAGAGAGAGAGAGAGACTCACATGAGTGATGAGTTATCTGGTTGCTTAGGTCAGGGTGACAGGGTCTTTGATTTTAATCCCAGTTTTCTCAGCAGCAGTTCTTGAGACCAAAAGTCCCATAAGGAAATGATACCATTTTTTTGGCAAGAGAGAGGTTCCATAACACCTATAGAAGATTTTCTGGTATATATTGTTTTGCTTTGGA